ATCAGCCACCGTCAGCACTTGGAGAGTCCCTCCCAGGGACAGCTGTCCGTCCGCAAGCCCGCCTGCAGACAAGGTAGAGCTGACTACAGGGAGGACCAAAATAGCGCCCTCATGTGATGCCCGCTTAGATTTGGGGCAAATGTGGGTGGCGGCAGTAGAGGGCAGAATTTATCAGGTGTCTGGTCTTCCAGCCATACGTTTGTAGCCAGTCCCATCATTAGTTCCAGGAGCCTCCTCGTCTATAAAATGGGAGGAATCGGACCCACCCCAGTGGAGACATTCCGAGGACCAAATGAAATACGGCTCTGGAGGGCCTGGCACAGAGCTCTGCTTCTAGCAGGGGCTCAGTAAACATTACTTCCCTTTTCTAGTCTCCATGCTCTGTTCCTGTGCTTGCCATTCCTTCCCCTTGAGAGGCCATTATGATGTTCCTTTCCATCAGACTCCTACCGATCCCTCAAAACCCAGTTCAATTACCACTTCCTCCATGAAGGCTCTCTGGTCCATCCAGGGGGACAGACCCACCACTTTCTTCTCAGCACTTCCACAACATATTACACAGGGCCATCTGGTCCTGCCAAAGAGTAAGGATCCAGGAAGGCTTCCTGGAAGAAGAGGCATTCAACCAGAGCCCCAAAGGAAGGGCAGGCAAAAAGGAGCAGGAAGAACATTCCAGAGAGAACCATGTGTGCCAAGGTCAGGAAGCCAGAGGAAACTTGGTGGATGTGAGGAATTTAAGTCCTATACCAGGGACCTTCACTGACCACTTTAGCTAAGAGAAACTCCATTTTCCATTCTCACCCTCAATTACATTACGTATTTATTCGTTTGTTGCTCACATCCCCTACTGGAATTCTAAGCCCATTAGGGCAGGTACCATATCAACTTCATTTACCTCTGTATCCTTCTCATAGCTCAGTATTTACTGCTGGCTTCACAACTGCTAGATTCCGAGTTCCAAAAAGACAGGGATTTGGCCATTCTAGCTCACTATTAAATCCCCAACAAAGGGCCAAGTACACAGAGGAAACTTAATAAATATTTTTGATTGAATAAACACTGCCCAAAGGAGAGGTTCAATTTCTCGATGAACAAACATAGGGATGGACAAGCAGATGTAGGTATGCATGGGCAGATGCACACACAAATGGATAAATGGACAAATGAACTGATTAATTAATGCATGAACACAGAGTTCTCACATTCATATCATCAAAGCCCAGAGACCCATGACTCTTAGCTGCCCCACTTGGTCTTGTTAAGCTTCAGAGGTTTCTCTCTGTCTTGGCCCTGGCCATTCAAAGCTTCTTTTCTTATCCGCGGCAGCCGCATTTCCATTGTCACAGAGGGCCACAGGCCATTTCCCCTCTGCCCCTCTACTCTGAGCCCTGGGAGCTCAGCAGATTCCCAGCCCTCTCTGAGGGGGTCAGCTGACCCTGGTGCCTGGACTTCTTCTCATTATAAGGCGTTTTTACAGGAGCCTCCTATGGGAATTGTCGGCATTCCATTCTCCCAGAGAGTGGGATGTGAATCTGCCCTGCGTTTTATTAATTGCAAATTAATGCTATGCTGGGTGTCTATTTTGGTAGACATGCTTCCACAGAGTACGGAATGCAACCCAAAGCGGCACATTGCTCTCATTCTTTCTGCCGACCGACTGTGTGAATATTTTTAGAAGCCACACCCTCTCGCAGCAGCCAGATAAATAATTTCCGATGCCAGAAGTGCTCTTTGCAAATCGACATCAGACAAGGAAGGGGAAAGGAACTAGCTACATGGCTCTTACCAAAACTGCAGTGACATGTGACAAATTTAAACCAGTAGCATTTTTATAGGCCTCTTGGCTCAAAGCCCTCCACCCTTTAAACATGGAAGATGGATCCACATTTAAAGAAGTCTCAGAGGCAGTTCCAAAAGAGGCCCTTAATGCTCATGTCCTGATGGTTGGTACTCATCTGCATCTGTGGTCCCACAGGTCCAGACACTGATGGCCTGGGCGCTCTTGAACATAGAGGCCAGCTTGTGGCCATGTGTCTGGCTGCCTGTGTCAGCAAGTGCCCTTTCTAAATGTGCTTCAGCAAATGCTGAGTCAGGAAGAGCTGAGCACATAACAGCCAGAAGACAAATCAACGCCAGCTGAAACACATTTTTAAAAAGACCTTGGAGTGGGTGGGATGAAAAGAGAATTTGCCTGGAAGTCAAACATGTGAGTTCTAATCCTGGCTCATCATTTCTTTATTCCGAATTCAAGCAGCTCTGAAGTACCTACTGTATGTATGCCAAGCACTATGCTACAGTCTGGGGAAACAACATGATAAGATAGTCTATACTGATTCACTGTGTGACCTTGGGCACATCACCTAGACTTTCTGGGTCATAATTACTAAAACAAGGGGTTGGAAAATGACCCTCAAAGTTCTTCCAAGCTCTAGAATTCTCAGACCTGAGTAGGATTCCCTGAACAAGCAGAGAAGGAATTTAAAAGTTTTGATAATGGGAAGATTTGGTTTCTGTGTGGGATGTGTGTGTGTGTGTGTGTGTGTGTGTGTGTGTGTATGTTTTCCCTTGGGAAATGCCAGGAGTAGAAATTCTTAAGGGAAAAACAAGAGGAAAGATACACCCAAACATTAATTTTTATGATGTTCTGTGTTATTTCCCTACATAATGTACAGGGATCCTAAGTCAAAGGACTTGCTACAGGGGAGCCCCATTGCTTGTGCAAATGAGCCATTCGTCTGGCCTCATTATTGCCCTGCACAATTGCTTTCAGAATTCTAACCATTCTTCTCCTCCACTGGGGAATTCTATGACTCGGTAGGAAGCTATGTGTCTTATCACTTCTGAGACTACATCATGGGACCAAGAGGTCACACTGTACCACAGAACCCAATACCCAGGGGAGAGGCTCACATTCCAGGCCTTGTAAAGACGACATTTAATTTCGAGAGCTCTGGGGCAGGTGGCAGGAAGAATCTGGAGAGAAAGTGACTAAGGTCAATGGCACAAACCCTTAGAATGTCGCTCTCAAGCCAGGACCCAATTTTCTAGCCATGGCCTACCCACCACGCCCCAAGACCCAGGCACCTTCGGAACAGCTGACTTCTGGCTCCATTCCCTCTGCAGTGGCCAGACATTGAAGCAGGCTCCTGGTACAGCAATCGTCAACCGCTAACTGCTTTGACTATCATATTGTCTAAAATCTTCACATTTGCTATTGACTCCCCAGAACCAGGCACAGGGCATTGCACACACTAACTGCTCAGAAGATACTCACTGACCAAAAAAAAAGAACAAATAAACAATAACCCTAAGTAACAGGAACTGGCATCCCTACTTGACAGATGAGGAAACTAAGGCTTTAATCAGCAAGTAATTTGCCTCCAGTCCCGCAGTTGCTAAGGGCCAGGGTGGCAAGTCAAACCCGGGCTACCCAACTCCAGAGCCACTGCTTTTAAGCCTGACATTTGCACACAGTGCTTAGCAGTTCATAAAACTAAACATAGAGCGCCCCTCCTTTCGTCCTGAGAGCAAGCCTGGAGGTACTACTGTTGCCCCAGTTCACAGCAGAGGACACAGGGTTGGGTGGCTTTCCCAGTGTCACACAGCTAGTAAGCCACACAGCCCAGAATTTCCCACCTCTACAGTCAGTGCTGCTTCCAATATGATCCAGCCACGTGGCCAGAAATGAAGAGACCCTGAGATTCCACTTCAGTGTAATTATGTTTTCAGGGACATGTTATAGCCTATAGTTTCTACAGAGAACTGCTCAGACCAACTATGTCCTCCTCACTCTATGCACTGCGCAGAAATGATTAAGGTCAACCACCCTGCAAGAACACGAGGTCACTGGGACATGGCTTCCAGGGGCCTCTGAAAGGACAATGGTGACTAATGGTTGCCATCATGATCTGCAAACAGAATCTGAATACCAAGGCAACCCCATTCTTCTAAGCAAGGACATAAAGTGTCCCCATCACACAACCCCCCACTGCCAGCACCACCAACAACAAAAAGTCATTCCCATGCTTTGTCCGGGGACCAGGGATAAGCCACTAACGTCACCAGCGGCCAATTGGGAGGTTCCCGCTGGTACAGGGAGTGCTAAGGCCATTTCATAATGAAACCCATGCGGTGAGCTCCGTTTATTTTGAAACTGTATTTGCTTATTTTGTAGACGTGATCAAAGGGACATGTGGAGGGCTCCCCAGGAGGCACTTGAACCCTGTCGGCCAGGAGAACTTTCTCCAGCCCCCGCGGCAGCCAGCAATAATAATCTCCATAAAAGAAACCCCAGCACTTGCTAGTTCCCAGCAGCAAACTCCAGCCTCGCTCTGGTCAGTTTCCCAGGTCCATGGCTGGCTTCAGGGGTGGGAGGGTTGAGAGGGAGAAGTGGGAGACATGGAGTGTGACAAAAAGTGGCCAGGGAAACAGTTCCAACTCTAAAATAATTTAGGGCCCTGCCAGCAAATCAAGTATAGTGACTTGAACTTGGGCTCGTGAATCGGGCAGACATGGCTTCAAATCCCAACTCAACTACTTACCACCACTGCACTACCTTGCACAAGATATTTAATTTTTCTGTGCCTCGGTTTCCCTATCTGTGAAATGATGTCAATAACAATACCCGTCTCATAGGGTCATCTTAAAGATTGTAAGTGATATAAGGCAAGTATGATGTAAAATACATATGAAATATGTTGGTTGTTGTATCTTTATGATGATGATATTAGACTATGAGCTTCCTGCGGGCAGGGAGTGTATATTAGTCATCTCATTTTAACGCAACAGGTAGAACCATCTCTGGCATGCAGTAGGAGATCAATCAATGCTTGTCAAATTGAATTGTGTGAACTGAGAACTCAAGCAAAGAGACTTTCCCCAGCTGCCTGCTGGGGAAGGAAGTGACTGCCTGTTTCCAGGCTGCAGCTTGGAGTGGGTTAAGCTCTGCCCGGCTGCAATACCCCGGCCCTGCACATCAGTCAGCGAGGCAAGAGCTTTACCTTAATATTGCAGTTGTCATCAAGCAGTATATTTTCCAGCTTCAAGTCCCGATGGACTACACCGTTCTGAAATGAGAAGACAAAGAGGGAACTGAATGGGAGCGGTGGGACGAGAGCAAGAGAAAGAGGTAAGAGGAGGGTGAACACAGGGAAATGTTTGACAGATTAAAGAAATGCACCAGCCCGGTGGTCTTCCCCTCCATCCTTCAGGCTGCTCTCACTGTCTTGCTGCTCCCCAGCCAGTGACCGACCAGTGACAGGGGAGCATTAGTCACTTGCTGTGTGGTTAAAGGAAAAATGACTGGAATCTCTTCTCCCCCAGAGCCTGTAAAACAGCAGGGGGATTCTTTGCCGGAATGTAATTCCACTGTGTGAAAGCAATATAATCCCAGGCAGCAGCAAACAATGTCTGTCTGGGATGGGATTCCCAGGGAAGAAGCAGATTTCTCTGCCGGGGTCTCAGAGTGTGGAGCTCGCTGGCCTTGCCTGTCTGTCTGTCTGCCTGCCTGTCTGGCTCACCAAAGTGCAGGAAAGGAATCTGGCCCATCTATTCTGACCCATGAGACCAATCCACACCTGTCCTGAGGATAACAGAATATTTCCTAGGTAGCCAGGAAAGAAGATTCTGAAAGTTCCTCTCTGCTCAGCAGAGGGAGGGGCCAGTGTAAGAGCAGACCAGCAAGACCTGAGCCACCAGCCTGAGCAAAGCAGGTGGCTGCCACACCGTCTGACCTTCTCACTTAGGGGGACTCTGGCAAGGCTGCAGGAAGGGACAAGCAGCCAGCCAGCTGAAAGGTGAAAGGGAGTCATTAACCCTGCACAGGCTGGTGGTCTACACAGCAGCAACAACCAGCCTGCTCAATGCTGGTTTTAGACCCAATTATCTTTTTAGGGGGTGAGTGTGGGAAGAGCAGTGGGACTATTTGGGGCCGAGTGGACAAATCTCAGGGAGTACTGGAGGATTCTGAACATCATTCGGCACAGGGGACGTCTGCAGTTGAAGCTGCTCATTTGAGCAAACCAACTGGTGCGTTTACAACTGATGCTTAGTTGTTTTTTTTCCCTTTTCCTCTGACCGTTTTCCGTCTCTCTGTGCTGACTGCAGAGAGAGATGAAAACATGTATCTCTACTAATCTTTGTCACATCCGAGCCTTCAAGGGGGTGTTTTGAATTCAGAAATGCACAAAACCAAGTCTCCCGAAGGAGAGATATGGAGTAATTGCAAGCTATCTGATGTTTTTTAGTTGTAAATATCAGGAGCAGTTTGGTTTATATCAGGAATGTTGTTGCATTCCTGGTCTTCACAGTAGGATGGAATGAGTCTACTACAGCCCCATTCATACAGAATCCAAGTGCTCACACACTTCAAACAATGAAACACCGTCTCTGCAGTGCTTTACAATGATGCCCGATGATAAAATACAAAATAGTGTACAGTTCGAATCACAAGTACCTTTTGAGTCAGCACAGGGAGGTCAAATAATGTTCGTGTGCGTTAAGGGTTTTGGATTTGAATGATTGTCTTCCAATTATTGACAGAGCCACTCTCAATTAAACAGAATTTTTGACAAACCAGAAGGCCCCATGTCACAATGATTGGTATGAAGAAGTTGACTCTGTTTGGATGCCATGTTGGATTCAAGTCACATGGTCCTCAAAATACATGATTGTTCCAAGTATAAGAGTTCTGGGGAAAGTCTCGATGAGATGAAAATCATGGCTAAAATGATTAATAACAATAATGGCTGAAACCCGGCTTGGAATTATCTGTGTACTTCATTTCCTTCTCCAGAGGCCCAGGGTAGCTACATTGTGGCTATATTATGAGCACACTCCACTGAGCTGTGTGGCAATAAAATGCATGTGTATGTAGGTAACCAAGGTACCAAGGAAAGGTACCAGGAACATAGAAAGGTTCAGGACCTTTTACCCAGTAATTCCATTTCTGGAATCTCTCAAGTAATTTATTCAATTGAAAAGAAAATATTCATGTATAAATATGTTGATTACCAATTGTAATAACCAGAAATTAGAAACAGCCCAAATGTCCAATAATGCATTACAGATAACTTGTAATAATACATGAAAATATTTAAATTAAGATGCTAAGTGAAAAAGCAAGACTCAAACTATATTTACAAAAAAAAAAAAGCACCGTGGTACCCAAGATTGCATCCCGGAACAGAAAAAAGTCATTGGAGGAAAAATTGGTGAGATCCAAATAAAATCTGAAATTTTGTTCAAAGTAATGTATGAATATTAGTGTCTCAGTTTTGACAAATGTACCAAAGTAATGCAAGATGTTACCATTCAGGTAAACTGAGTTAAGCATATACGGGAACTCTCCGTGCTGTCTTTGAAACTTTCCTGTACATCTAAAATTACTCAAAATAAAAAGTTTAAATAAAAAAATAAATGTGAGGAGGAGGAGGAGGAAGAAGAAGACTGCAAGGAAACAAGCAAAAATGTCGACAGCGGGTTATCCCTGGACTCTGGACTTGTAGGAGATGGTGATTTTCTTCTTTCTAGCTTATGAGTTCTCTATGTACACTACTGCGAACAGGTGTCACTTTCGTAACATGGAAAGGATGACGTGGTGCCGTGGAACCCATGCGGGGCCATACCTTGTGACAGTAGTGCACGGCAGAGACGATCTGCCGGAAGAAGTGCCTGGTCTCCCGCTCGCTGAGGCGTCTCCGCTCGCTGATGTAGTCGTACAGCTCCCCTTTGCTCGCGTACTCCATGATGATCACAATCTTATCTTTGTTCTCGAACACTGCAGGGGGACACGGCAACAAACAAATGCCCTGTATGTCCAGCAAGCTCACTTACGACTCCAGAGGGCATGAGTGAGAGGACAATGGAGATGACACTGAGCAGAGAGCAAAGTGCCACCAACCGACTGACTGGCCCAGCAGGACACAAATCGGCCCATTCAACACCACGAGGATTTGGGAGAGTCATCCAGCCAGGTGGACAATGGCATCGTCACCACTGTTTCTGGACAGGCGTTTGTAATGTGGAGGGAAACGTGGTTCTCTTTCCTGAGGACCCACTCCCTTCACCAAGGTCCTTTCTCGTGAGCCCCTCCCACCAGAACAGCTCCCCTGTGGACAGGAGAATGGGTCACACACAACAGACACAGCTACCGTTCGCTAACCATTTGCTACAGACCAGGGAGCCAGGCCTGACAGAGCTACTCTGATCCCGAGATGGGTGCTCAATCTTGTCTCTTTGCTCAAAACCTTCCTGAGGTCCCATCTCACCCAAAATAAAACCCAAGGTTCTTCATGTGGCCCACCAAGTCCTCCACGATCCATGGGCCCCTTAGCCTCATTACACATCCATTCTGTGCATCTATTTACTCTGTCTCCCAAGTTCAAATGTAAATGAGGGTCGGTCTATTTCACTCACCGATGTATCCTCACACCCAGAACAGTGTTTGGCATATAGTAGAGCATCGGTATATATTAAAGGAGTAAATTCAAACTTCACAAATGAATTTTGAACACTAATAGTAAATAATTACATCCTGGTTAGAATGCACCAAGCTTGTGTTCGGTTTTGAGTACCTGCCACGTGCTAACTCGTTTAAACCTCACAACAAACTCTCAGGGAATTATCTGTAATTTTACCATTGAAAAATGAGGAAACTGAGGCCTGGGGGGTTAAGAAACACACGAAGTCTGCAATCAGGCAGTTTGGCTCCAAACACCTAGTGCAGAACCACTAGATGCAACGGCCTCCCAAAGAGCTGGCTGTAATCAGCTCCACTCTGGCTCTCAGTGCAGACGGAGAGTGGCAACATCACAGGCTGGTATTTGCCAGGACGACGCAGCTGCAATCACCTCGGGCGGGTGCCCTGCTCCAGCCTCAGGTCCTTCTCACCCAGCCTCCACCATACCAAGGAAATCATCTTCCAAAATGCTTCTCTCTCCCTAACTCTGATGCTCCCTAATGGTGATGTGCAAACTCAGGGTTCCAGGCAGGTGGCCAGGCGCCAATGCCTGGGGCTTGGGAAGGGGAGGCCACCAAGGACAGACTCTTGGTCCTCAGCACCCCCTCAGCCAAATCCACTCCACTGCTACCTGTCTCACACCATGGGCTTTCGCATAAGCCGTCCTTTAAGCAAAGACAAAATCAACGATGATAGTTTTGAAATGCATCACTCACAAAGCATATGATATAAAAACCTTTGCAGCGTACCTAAGACCCTGCCTGAAGGACCCGGGCCCACCTCCTGCCATCTCATCAGCTTCTACTCTTCCCGTCAGGACTGCCATGCCAAGCAAAGCAGAACTGTTTGCCGTTTCTCACAATCACACACGCACACTGCTGCCTCCCGCCTCTGTGTCCTCCCTCTGCCTGCCGTTACTCCCACCTGTCTTACCTGCCAGGGAAACTCCACCCCATCAGTTGAGAGGACTCAAACGTGGCCTCCACATTGCCTCCCCTCCACTGCTCACTGCACTCATCGACACTTGCCTCATGCACTTGCAAACTGTGCTGGTTTACTTGCTGACTTACATACCCATTTCCTCTGCCCAGACTATGAGCCTGCACTGAGAGAGCTAAAAACAGTAGTTTTGGAATCAGATACTCCTAAGTAGGATTCCCGGATCTGCCTTGTATTGGCTGTGTGACTCCACGAAACCTGCCCTCTCGGTGCCTCACCTTAGTCAACTGTAAAATATGAATGATATTAGTAAGTACTTCTTACAACTGTGGGGAGGATTTATCGATACCAGGTATGTCAGACGATTACAAGGTCTACACGTACAGCACACACTCACTAATGACAGCAATTATCATTGGTATCAATATTGTTGGACCTCCGGGGCCTGGGACCAAGACAGGCACAGACAACCAATGAAGAACTGAGTTGAGCTGGAACCTGCCCCAGGCCTGGGTGCTCCATCCTCCCATACCTTGTCACGGCTTCGAGAGGCTCAGGCCCCTCCAGTTCCTTTTCGGCTCCTTCAAGTCCAGCCAAACCTCTCTGATAAAATGAAGGGGGAAGGAGGCGGGCAGTGGGTGGAGGGCGGGGGGAAGGAGAGAACAGCCAGATAAAATTGGCTGCTCCGGTGTCTGCTGGCCTCGGTGTACCCTGCAGCTTTGGCTCCTGCCAGGGATTTCAGCCTGTTGTGCACTTTTCAACAATAAACTTTGGAAACTGGAAAGGCTGCCTCGGGGTGCACGGCTCAGGCTCCAAAAATGAGAGAGTGATATGCCCTAGAGAGGGCTGCGGACTTTCTAATTTTAAAGAGGAGGAATGTAGAAAGAAGCAAAGTACTTTGACAGGTAAATAAACAAGGAGCTTCACACCCCAGAGAGTCTGGTGTGTCCTTAAAGAAGCCAGAGCCACTGGGGAAGATGTGGGTCCCCTGCCTGATGCAGACAGGACTTGTTTCAGTGGCTGGATTCTTCCCTTTCCAACTGGCTGATTTGGTACCAAGGAGATACAAGTACATTTCAGTTCAATACCGTCCAATACACCCAATATTTTACTAAGCAGCTTCCATCAATAAATCCTGCTGCTCCTGCCCCTAAAATACATCCCGAGTCTGTCCACCTGTCTCACCTCCCGGGCGAGCCTTTGCCCCCATCCTCAGGAGTTGCCAGCCTTTGCCTCTCTGCTCATTGCACTTGCAGAGAGTTGAGAAATAGCTCCAAATGCACATTCCATGGAGCATTATTGGTCCTGCAAGATATTCTAGAGATAAAAAAGGATTCCATGGTCAAACACAGGTAAAATGTCAATACTCGACCGCCCCTGGAGAGCCCGGTTATTTGGCCATTTGAATATTCTTATTGGCATCCGGGAGAACTCATCGGGATAATCAGGGACCAGCTGGGGAAACACTAGATGAATGAGATGACATCTGAGTGGTAAAACTGGCCCCTCACTGTGTCAGGCAGGGCCAGTGAGCAGCCTGGCCCGAGAACTGTCCAAGCAGCCGGGCCTGGCTCTGGGACATCATGCCCATCCCCCACCCCCCACCATAAGAAGCAGCCCAAGTCTCATGGTCAAGGCCCTGGTTGTAAGCTTAAATTAGCTAAGAGAAAACAAGACTTCCATACTTGGAGCATCAGTGGCTCATCACTGAGGCGGTGTGGTGTTACCGACAAACCTTCTTCTGCGCTTTCTTATTTAACAGCAACATTTGATGTGGGCCCACTATACCAAGCACCAGGCTGATGAGCATTTTGCATGAATATGTCACATGGGTTTGGTCCTGTGACCTCCCTTGTTTTACAGATGAGAACACCTGGGTACGACAAGGTGAGCGATAACTGCCGTGGCTACAGAGAGCAGGCGGCAAGAGCCAGGACTGGGCCCGGGAAGTCTGACTGCAGACCTCCGCTCTCAGCCACCACGTTACTGCTCACATACTTTTAATTCCTCTGAACCTGGCTGTCCTCATCAGTCCAGTGAGGCTAATAATTTCCTCACACAGCTACCCGGGGACTCAGTGAGCTGTGGGTCTAGCGCCCTCAGCACAGAGCCTCAGCCCATGCTCGGTAAATGGAAGCTACTCTCATAATTACTTCATCTGCCTCTTAGGCAGCTCTGGCAAAACAAAGCCCTAAGACTCTCCTCTCCCTGCCCGCATTGCTCTTTAAAACATGTTGTGGAGGCCGGGCGCGGTGGCTCACGCCTGTAATCCTAGCACTCTGGGAGGCTGAGGCGGGTGGATTGCTCAAGGTCAGGAGTTTGAAACCAGCCTGAGCAAGAGCAAGACGCTGTCTCTACTATAAATAGAAAGAAATTAATTGGCCAACTAATATATATAGAAAAAATTAGCTGGGCATGGTGGCGCATGCCTGTAGTACCAGCTACTCGGGAGGCTGAGGCAGCAGGATTGCTTGAGCCCAGGAGTTTGAGGTTGCTGTGAGCTAGGCTGACGCCACAGCACTCACTCTAGCCTGGGCAACAAAAGTGAGACTCTGTCTCAAAAAAAAAAAAAAAACAAAAGAAAATATGTTGTGGCTGCCCCAGAATCACAGTATTTTAGAGCAAGAAAGGACCTGAGAGATCATCTATTATTTTTCCAGAATAGTCCAGGATTCACAATGTATAAGAGCATGGCTTTGGAAATTCATACTGAAAACTGACCAGCTTCCGCAGCCTCTGCCCAAGGCTCCTTGCCCGTGGTTAAGGCCACTATCAGCGAGGTGACAGGAATACTCTCAGCCATTCTTCTAGCAAAAAGGGCTGCTTCCCTTGGGCACTTTTACAACTGGTTATTTATAAGCCCAGAAATCTTGTCTGTGTTTATGTTATTAGTCACTAAGCAAAAGCTTATTTTCCACCAGTTGGGAAGGGTTTCCTCTCTGAAAAATGAAAGCCTGTGTCTCTTGGCCAGACAGCTTTACCCAGAAGCCCGGTGGCTCCAGAATGGTGAGGAAAACTATGGCCCTTGACATGCCAGGCCTACCAGGAAAATCAAAGCCCTGAATAGAAACTGAGCTCAGCTCGGGTCAGCCCCGGCCATGTCCATGGGGCACAGAGCCTGGTTTTTAGTGTAGCAAGGGAGTTTTAGAAAGCGCCTACTATGCGATGGCACAGAGGATGTTGAAGGAAGATTTTACCCAGCTTAGAGGGGAGAGAAAGGCAGGCCAGGCAGAAGGGCAGCACAAGGAAGGGGACCCTTTTGCAAACAGGAGAACCAGCAGCAGCTGGCAGGGCCAGGGACTGGGAGAAGAGAAAGAAGAGGACAAGGAATAAAACACCGAGGCCTAGAACACCCACTGACTCCAGGGGAGTCAGTCAGG